TTTATTATTATTATAATTATTGTTAGTTTATTCTGAATATAAATGAATACAGTAAAAATAATAAAGTCAGTAGCTAAACATTGTGGTTATTAAAGAAATTAATTTGTAGGCTTCTTACATTTAATAATATTATTAATGAAGATATTCTTTTGGGACACATTCTAATTATTTTATATATTTTAAATGTATGACCGCTCGTTATATAGCAGAAAACCAACAGATTTAACTGCTTCATATTTTTACTTTTGATTTACATAGTCTGATATAAAATTTTCTATGGGGGAAAAATCGACTGTTATTATCATTATTACTAATACTAATATTTATTACTATGAAATTTTCCAGATCGGCATCAATTGAGTCCTTTCCTGGCGGATTATTAATCGCGAAAAAAGATTTTTTTTTTTTTTAAATATTTGACGAAAAATTTTTAATAATAATAATGGATACTACATTGGATACAGCTATGGACTGTTCAGAAATTATTGACCCAGGCTTCAGTCTCATTCATGCACAACAACAGCCAGAACAAACAACTATAATAACAACAAAGCTGTCTTTACCACAAGAAATAAACAAAGACCATTCAATTACACCTTTACAAAAAATGTTTGCTGCTTGTAGTGGGGCTTTATTAACTTCACTTGTTAGTAAGTGAAAAAGAACTGTCAACACTACATAAATGAAATGACTAATTATGATAATATTAATTATATATTTCACTTATACTATTATAGCAACACCATTTGATGTAGTAAAGACCAGATTACAATCACAAAGTATTTCCAATAATAATACTTTCTTATTTTCAAATATCAAACCATTAGCATCAACATCATATTCATCAATATCATCGCCATTGCCATCACGTTGTCAGCAAAGTTTATTTTTTTCAGCAAGAAATTTAAAACAAAAATTTTTTTGTCAATTAGAACCAAATTTATCATCCAATCTATGTTGTATAGTTTCAAATGCAACAGCAACTCTACCATCTTCTGCTCAGAGAGAAGTAGTAACAAAATATCGCCAACTTAATGGAATAGCGGTAAAATTTATTTCACATTTTCCTTGAAAGATAAAAAATCAAGAGAATCTAATTATTAAATTAATTAATTTTTGGATATAGGATGGTATTGTTAAAATTGTTCGTTATGAAGGGATTACATCTTTATGGCGAGGTCTATCACCATCATTGTTAGTTTAAATGAATAATTTTATATGATTATGTATTGCGTGGCATTTTATTTATTTGATTATTTATTTTACCTTTTTATTTAATAATAATAACAAATAAATTGTAACCGCTTGTAACCTGTGAACCTTACCACGCCTCTTATCTATGAATAAAGTTAATCTCAAAACATAATTTGGGGCATGCTGCAACAAAATCAGGCAAAGTGAACTAGTGATTTTGTGTATCAAAATTTTTAACGTCACTGATTTTACAAATTACCTCTGTTTTGAATGCATATTTTTACTATACCTCACAATCACATTTTCATTTAAATACATGCTTATATTTTTTGGAACTAGTGGCAAGATTAATAAGGATCAAATTAACCATGAATGAAGGCATTATTAAAAATCAGTGATAATACTTGTCCAAGAAAAATTTTTTTTGGTTGAACTAATGTCCACATTGATTCAATCTAAGTAAGAAAGCAAAGGAGCTGATAATTTTTCAGCTTCGTGGGAAGTAGTAGCAATTAAAAGAAATTTTGATAAATCCACTTCTTTATTAAACAATTCAGCACTTTGTTGCCTATATTCTTCTAGGGCATGATTTTGGCTAATTTTTTAAAGCAAATGACCGGAAATTCTCCTTTTTCAATAAGTTTTTTATTTGGAAATCATTATAAATCTTTGATTTTTTTAAAATAATTGAATTCCTTTTACACATAATAATAATATCATGTTTATTGAGTTTTATTTGAAAAAAAAAATCAGTATTGCAAATCTGAGTCATCACCACTAAAGCACTAGTACAATACCATCCATACTAATAAGATAAAATGAATCATTATTATTCATGAAAATGGAGGTGTTGTCGATGTTGGAACAATTGATTTTATTAGTAGTTAGCCGAAATTGTCTCTCTTAATAAACTTTTCATAGATGTCGAAAAATAACTTTACTAGTTGCCAAAATTGTATCTGAACTTATTTGAACATTTAACTCAATAGCCGAAAATCCTGTTTTTTTTTTATGCTATCGATATCAAGAATGTTGTAAGCTTACTAAAATTGATTTTTTCAAAAACTGTTTCAGCTAACATTCTTAATAATGATGTAGATAAGTCTACATAGATTGATTTTGTTTAACAATGAATTAGAATATTAGTACAGACAGCTTACATATGACAGTATCTCCGTAGAAGATGTTTAGGAATAAATCTCTATACAAGCCGGTTTGAGCCAAGCCAAGCTTTGAGTAGTTGGCTTGATAATTTCAATTTAGTATTTCCGTTCATTAATACCATTTTCTAAATATTCCAAAAGAATTATAAACATTCGAAATACACCAAATAACTTTCGATAGTAGGTAAATAATAGATGCTTCGAACAGTCGTAAATGTTTTCGAATAGACATAAATGTTTCGTAACAGTAAATGCTTCGAATGGTTATAAGTGTTTTGAATAACCAAAAAATATTATTTTTTAATTAATGGAAATAACTGGCTCACGAGCCAACTAGGAATAGTTAAATGCTGATTAACTATGTTAATACATTTGAAATAATATTATGTATAAAATGCTACATTATAGTTAAACTTAATCCATAAAAATAGTCTTGGTCAATTCACTTAACATTTTTTTAATAATAATATCATCAATACAAATTTTTGACCTTAACAACCCAGATAACCCATACTTGATTAATGAAAAACCTATGTTTTAATATAAGATAACCACTCTTTAACTTAATGAATTTATTATCTTCATTGTATTTATCTATGTCAATTCAAGATTATTTGTGGACACATGAAAAGAATGGGAGACGGGCAGGTGTGGCTTAACCCGTCCCCAGTCCTTTTCATGTTTAGCCCATGAATACTAGAAAAGGACGGGCAATGGTGAGGGTGCTCTGCAAAATAGTATAAAAAAGGACGGGAAATTAACAAGGGACGGATGTGGCACAGTGATCCGTCCCCCATCCTTTCTATTATTCATGGGGAAATCTTGAGAAGGACGGGCGAAAAAGGGACGGGTTTGCTGCGCCATTACTGCCCGTCCCTGATGTTTTCTTAAAAAGGACGGGCATTAATATTTGCAATATTGTATAATAAATATAATGATGCAAAATAAAGAGGACGGGGGACGGGTTCAAGCCAACCTGCCCGTCCCCTGTCCTTTTCATGTATTCGATTATATTATATATTTTAATTAGCTTATTTATTATCTATTATGATTTGTATTCTTCATTATTTTAATTTTACATAAGTTTTAGCCTCAATTGTATAATAAAAAAATAAAAATCAAGACTTTAGATAAGGAATAAATAGAGACGGGAAATTATAATAGTCCAATTTTGCAGCCTGTTTACTAAAAATTATATTATGACAAACACCTTTCACCTGTCCTTTTCATGATTTGCCCGCGAATAATAAAAAGGAGCAATGGGACGGGTAGTAATGGCACAGCAACCCGTCCTTTTCAAAGATTTGCCCATGAATAATAGAAAAGGGCAAGCAAATGGGTTTCTACGCCTTCACCACGCCACACCTGTTCCATGTTAGTTACCCGTCCTTTTTTACATCATTTTGCAGAATACCCGTACCATCACCCGTCCTTTTCTAGTATTAATGGGCCAAACTTGAAAAGGAAGGGGGACGGGCAGGTGTAGCTTGAACCCGTCCCCGTCCTTTTCCAGCATCCCGTTACATAACATATCATTGTTCAACTCGATAATTTTCTACAAATAAAAATTGAATAATATTTAATATACACCATAATCCAAAAATTTTAGTATAAAAATCTATTACCATGAATACAAGCTCTATAATTTTTATTATATTAATAATGTTGACATGTTCAAATGGATATTCGATTTCCATTATTTTATCTGCAACAAAAGTTTCTGGGGTCCCAGATTTATTTCTCTTTTGTCTCTGTATATTAAAAAAAATTTTTTTTTGGAGTGGATTCTTGATTAATAATCAAACATTTCATCAGCATAGTATAATGAAATGGAAAAATCACAACTAAAACTCACTGTACACTATATATGCTAAAACAGAATTTTGAAGTATATTTAATCATCATTTCCATTATAAAAAGTGACGATAACCATCATTATTATGATGAACGCTTGCTCATTTCTTGCTAAATCTTGTTGCTTTCGTCTTCTAATATTGCTCTGATTATTATTTGGCATTTTTATATTAATATTAATATATAAAAAAAAATAATAAAAATAATTTAAAATTACATGTTATCTCAAATTAATAAGAATACAAATGTATTTCTTCACACTGTATACATCAAATTATACAATCAATGATATAAAAATGAGATAAAAAAATATAGATGTATTGTTCGCGATTAGACAAGAATGTTCTCTGAATTGTTGAATATATAATCAATGGTATAACAACAAAATATTTATTAATGATAAATGAATGATACAATCAATGATCCAACCGAGATAATAAAATATTAATGCATTATTCATGGATATGATCCAGTTCTGATTTTGAATTTCAAATTGAAATTCTAAATTAAAAAAAAATTTCTTTTAAATTATGTCAACCAATTTTGATTCTCAAAGATATCCTGGCCAGTATTAGCAATTGAACTTATTGGACCAGTCCAATAAATCAATTGGGACTCTGGACCAATTCTAAGGGTGGCAAATCATATTTCAGCATTTATATAACGAGAAGGATATGATTGAATATTTTTTATGTTGGACTTTAAATAAAGTTATTATTTTTATCTTATTCTTTTTTAATAAATAATAAATAAATAGACTAAAAATCATACTCAGAAGCCTTTTTTTATTTGGAGTAGAAAAATTTTGTACATTATTTATTTCTTTAGATGATGTATTAATAGAATCTCCACCATCATTATAAAATTCATTTTCAATTAAAAAAATTTCAATTCAACAAATGATTATGACAAGTTTTTTTAGTTAAAGTTATTTTCAATTCATTGATATTTATATTAGGTTGAGAGATCTTACAAGCAATGCAGATTCCCAGTGATTATAACCGTTTAGTTCATCAGGTAAAACATGAAAGTATTTTTTATATTGATTACTTCCTTGAGGCATTGAAAGAGTAATAAGTTGCAATTACAGTAATAAAATTGAGAGATATTTTTTTATTTTTGTATGACAAAATCCAAATAAAGTCTAGTCGAATCCAATAAGTCCAGACCAGTCCAAACCAATTGGACTGGTCCAGTGTACAATTAAACCACTTTCATTACTGTGCAATCGGACTGGACTGGTCCAAACGGTCCAAAGTCCAATGAAATGATTGGACTGGTGATTTGACAACACTGATCCTGGCAAATATGATTCCATCTGTAACTAAAGGAAATCCACAGTTGATGCAATAACATTTAGTGAATAGATGTTCAAATCCACCTATTACAATTTTATTTTAAATATCAAAATGATAATTTTTTGGATGAAACAGGTTCTTTGATGACTTCTAATTCTTGGAACAAGGAGTTTGTCTAATAATAATCAAAAGGGATTGAATGATGAATTTGAATTTTGAATTACTATTAGAATTTCAATTAGATTCAATTTTAATTTGGATTTCACTAGTTCTAGAGGCCTTTTGATTTCAAAAACCCAAATAATTTTTTCAAAAGTTTGAATTTTATTAAATGATTTTTGCCACCTTGTATGTTTCTGACTTCTTTGAATCTGGTAATTAAAGATTTCAGGTTCTAGGATTATTATTATTTAAAGACATGAATAAAGCTCCAAACAGATCAGTTTGGTTTTTGGTTTACATTTACCCAAAAATTTCAGATATTCTAAATTCATTAATTATGCAAAAACACACATAATAACCACCAGTGTAGAAAATTGAGTGCGGGATTGTGTTACATTAAAGATAGCCAATAATCTATTGACAAGATTAAGCAAATATATGATAATTATGATGATAATAAATTGTACTAAATTACAATGATTCAAAGACTTAAATCCATTATTATTATTTATATCTCATTTTACTCTCCATTATTGAATGTGGCTTATTTCACCTAAAGATTTTACAATTAAGCATAATTTGCAAAAAAAAAAAAAAAGCATAATCCTGGACACATGACATGGGATACTAATATGGGATGAGTTATTAATATGAAATTGGGATTTTTACTGATTCCATGCCAAGTCAAAACACCTTCATGAGAGCAAATGGAGCCTGAAAATTCAGGTTATTTACAAAACCAATTGATTAATATTGAAGTTTGCTGCCATAAAAATTTCTTGTCTTATTTCTTTTTTTTTACATTCAAGTATAATGTGATTTTATCAATTTCTTTTTCTTTAACTAAATATTTTTCATTTTCAATAATTTTTTTGATTTTTTGATTTAAAGAATTTGCTATATTTTTGATTAATTTGCCTTCTGAACCTATCAAAATTTTCTATTAAATAAATTGACAAGTTGAATGAATAAATTGATGATAATTAGAAGCATTATTCAATAAATAAATAGCCTTTTACCTGTTGAATTTGATTTTTCACATAAATATTTTGGTCAATTCTTAATGTATTGTTGTTTATTTTCCATCCAACATTTTCCTATTAAATAAATAAACTAATCAATATATATATATTAATAAACAACCAACCAACCAATCAATATGATTTACTTGTGTAACAGTGTAAGGAAAATATCCATAATAATGAGTTAATATTTCCTCTCTAATAAATTCTTCAATTCTTTTCAATAAACTTGAATCAACTTTTTGATCAGATTGATATAGCCAATCATTTGGATAAGTTTTATTTAATAATAATCTCTTATATAAAATAATATTAATTACATAATGTCAATATTATTATTTTAAAATATAAAAACAAGAAATATTGATTACTTACTTTTAACATATTTAACTTAATATTATGTAAAGCAGATATTGAAATAGTTGGACAGTTTTGTAGAAATGGGTATTTAGTTAAGAGTTCTAAATTCTTATTTCTGAATTTTCTTTCATTTTTAATTAAATCAATCTATAAGAAAAGTATTTAAATATACAAGTAAATATATAAATATAACATTCATAAATATTATTTTACCTTGTTAAATATTAAAATAATTGGTTTTTTCATAGTTTTTAATTTTTCAATAATAAATTGTTCACCATAATAACTGTATTCAGTTATTTTTAATGCATCAATCACTAATATCACTATAAAATTATAATATAAAAGTAATATAATATAATATAATATAATCATATATCATCATACTATATATAATTACCATAATCAACTTCATTTATTGTATTCCATGAAGAATTAATCAATTCACGATTATATCTTTGTTTATATTTGGTTAATGGTGATGTTGATGTTGATGTTGATCTTGTTGTAAATATTACACCTGGAGTATCTAAAAAAATCTATATAATTTATAAATTTTAATTCATCATATATTAATTCATGATATATTAATTTATTATAAATTAATTACAATTTGCTTGTTATCAACTGTTAATATTGTGGAAACTCTTTCTCTTGTTGTATGTGGTTTGTCTGATACAATTGTCACCTAATAAATACATTTTTTATTATTATTAATTATCAATCATCAATTATCACCATTGGATAATATTTACATTATCACCAATTAAAGAATTTATCAAAGTAGATTTTCCTGAATTGGCTGTTCCTATTATTGTAACTTTAAGTATATGAGGGTTTATTGGTTGTTTGATTTTTTGTTGAATTGTTGGCAATTTATCTTTAATATCTAGTTATTTATTGTTGTTATTATCATTCTTTTTATAAATAAATGCTATCTTATTCAATTAATTAATGAATTATATATACCAGCAAAATTATTATTAATAGATATAATTTTATTTTTATTGATTTTTTGTTTGTCTTCACTTTTTCTTCCCAATTTTTCATAATTTGAATAAAAAATTTTTTTTTCTATTAATTTATCAAATCTACTATTTCCCTTTATTGAATTTGGCAATCTCATTATTGATCTTATAGGTATTCTTGCCATTCCTTTTGCATTTGACATCATTGAGTAAAAAATAATTTTCTTATTTCTGATTAAAAAAATCGTTTAATGATCATCTAGTCATGACAAAACTAAATATATACAGTATTGTTTAACAAGTTTACCCCTGAAATTTATTGAGCAAAAAAAAAAAGATGGAGCAAAAAAACAATTCAATGCCTGAAATGAATGACATTCAAACTTTCGTCAATGATTCTATAATGTACAATTTATTTGATACAAATAACAATCTAGACAATACTATTACCCAGGAGTCACATGATTTTCATAACTTAGAAACTGGTATACCTGACATGGATCATAACTATTTATCACAACTTTTACATGCTGTAATGGAATCAGAATCCAAGAAGAGTGCAGTCGATTTTGTTTCAATGTCAGAGGTTGAAAGAATCCCGGTCTCTGAAATAAATGCTTTCAACAACTTTAGACCCTCTTCAGAATCCAATTTTCAGCCTGATAATACTAATGACAAGGAAGAAGACAAAAGTGTAAGTAGCAATATTGATGTAATTGATTATATTATTTAAAAAACTTTTTATTGAAAAAATAAATATATAATATATAAATATTTATGTTTTAGTCTATGAATGAAAGCAATCAAGATTTAGGTTATGGCGATGATGATGATAATTATGATAATCCCAGAAATATATCACCAAGTGTAAAGTATACATCAGCAAGAACCACTATAACAGCTACAAAATCAGGTTTAAATGAGAATGGCATTAATAAATCAAGAAGACTCTGGGATGATGAAGAGGTTTCTATTTTTCTTAATCATTTTAAGGAGGATTATGCATTATACCAAAAGAACAGTAAAAAATTTTATGAAAAGATGGCCAGTAAATATTTTACATCAAGATCAAAAGGTGCAATTCAAAGTAAACTTAATCAATTGTTGGATAAATATGAGGAAGTTAAAAGCAATTCGGCTAAATATAACTGGAAATGGTACAGAATTATTGATGATATCATTAAAGAAGATTCCAATGATGCTAATGATCATGATAGTGATAGATCATCTGAAATCAATTATTATAATGAAAGACTTAAATCCAAAAGACTTGTGAAAAGCAAAAATAATAAACCAACTGATGTTAGTGAAGTAGAATCACATGAAGTAATAATTGGTAACCATAAGATAAATAATAATAATTTTATAAAAGCTGGTTATTTTATGGAAGATGATTATGTAAAATTTAAAAGGTTTAATAATAATCACAATAATGCAAATAATATTATTAATCCTCTTGTCAATGATCAAGAAAACAACGCAATTGATAATGGTGCAGTTGAAAATAGAAATTGTATCAGTAAAAAAAGAAGAATTGGAATTTCTTCTGCATGTATAATTGCAGATGCTATCAAAGAATCAGTAATGTACAGAGAAAGAATGTGGGAAGAAAGTTTGAAATTTGAAAATGAAAACTTGAATAAAGAATATGAAATACAAAAAAACAGAATTGAATTGGAAATATGCCAATTGCAATTTGAAAGACAACAATTAAGACTTGAACATGATAACAAACTTAAAGAATTAGAAGTAAAACTATCTCAATTAAGCCAAAAAAATAATTATTGATTGAAATATTTTCCAAGCATTTAAGAAAAAATCTGACGTTTTTATTTGTTCTCTCTTTCTACTAATCTTCTCTTCTCTATTAATCTTGACAATATTTTCTCCCAATTAATAAAAATCAAATCTTCTCCATCAATCATAATTAATCCTTATTAGGATTTATTAATCTTATTTATGCATACAATTATTATTTTTTCAGTGTAGATATAGATATAGATATCTTTAGTTTTTATTGAATTAATCTAGGTTTTTTTAATATTATTAATAGTATTATATTAGATAGATCATCACCGGTTTTCCTGAATCTCAATGATAGCAGTTTTAAAATTGAAGATCTTCTAAATAAAGGACAATTCCATAAAATTTTTAATTAAAATGTTGATCAATTTTTTGTTTTAAGCTTTAAATCATCAGAGGAAAAACTTTTTACATTTGTTAAACAATTTAAAGTATTAGTTATTAGTCTATTAACTAATTATTTAGTCCGTTTCCTAATTTATTTAAAGTACAAGAACCGTTTAATGGTTCATTTAAAATTTAAAAATAATTTTCAAATGGTATTTGTTAAAACAAGTCACTAATATAGTGTTCCTAACCGAAAATCAAATTTTTTACAAATATTCAAAAAATCAATTTATTCAAGGATATTTGAATATATTAATATATATAGTCTATTTTCATAATTATTTTGGATACTCGTAATAATTGTAATTATTACGGATACTTGTAATTATTACGGATACTTGTAATTATTACGGATACTTGTAATTATTATGAATACTTGTGATTATGGATACTTGTAATTATTTTGGATACTTGTATTTATTTTAAATAATCATTTCAAACATTTGTTACGATATCACAAATGATTATCGATTGATAACAAACATTACTAACTTATTTGTAACTTATCCTACTATATAAATAAACATTTTCAAAGATAATTATATTTTTACAACAATTAAAATATTTGTCCGAAAACATTTTCTTTGTATGATGATATAATTTATTAAATAAATTTTTTGATATAGCTTGAAATGAACAATCAAATTGATATAAGAGATATGATGTCCAAAAAGGAACTTTATCATTAAAGAACAAGAAAAAAATTAACAATAGTTCGTTAAATTTATACAAATATCTGAAATAATGAATAAATATTTGAAATTCGTAATTTTGGATTTACGAATTTTTGATCGGGTTAAACAACAGAAATAAATCAGTCACAAGGAAGCCTTTGAGCTTTGCAAAAAAAAAAATTTATTTACTTAAAGTTATTCAGTACCATTAAATGCGCTTATAGATCCATCGAAACTTTTTAGGCACTAGAAAGAGGCAGTAAACGAGAACTAAGGTAATTTCGTAAATTTAATTGACAAGCATTGAATTATTGTGAGTTCCTTGCAATTAACTGACAAGAATGAGTAGCCCAAAGGTTAAACTGTAATCAAAAGGCATCACTACTTAACAAAATCAGAAAACTGTAAAGGCTTATTAAGAAATGAAATAAAAAGACAAATATTATAACGAATAAGTAAACTTGGTGGAAGTTAAATTAGTCACTCGTTGATCCTCTCTTTTAATCACTAGAATCTAACGTTTATTAATCAATCAAATGCAAGTAAAATATATTGTTAGTAATAATTAACAGATGATAATTTTAAAATTAATAACATTTTAGAGATTAATGAACTATCATTATTTGTATAACTTTTTAAAGCTTTAGTAACCTCTTCTACTTTTATGATATGTACCTGGATGTGATTTGTGTACTTGTTTCAAAACACTGCTACTATTACTACTATTATCATTACTACTATTGCTACTATTATTATCATCAATACTATTGTGAATTACTACTATTATTACCATCAATACTATTGAAAGTTTATTGTTATATAGCAAAATCAAAAGCACTCTAATAGTTGGTCTTTTTGATGGATCCACATCCCAACACCTATGCATCATTCTCAAATTTAAAAATCTATGAAAAAAAAATTTGGAGACATTTTTTTTTACATAAATTGATACCCTCTTTAAAGCTAATGTGGTTTGTTTATAAAGCTCCGAACGGTTCGGTTTAAACCGAAATTTTCGGTTCGGTTTCGGTTTTTAAAAAACCAATTCGAAAATTTTCGGTTCGGTTTCGGTTTGGTTTCGGTTTTTAAATTATTATTGAACACAAAAAAAAATTATTTTTTTCCGATAATAAATAAAATATATATATTAATATATTAATATACAGTATATAATAATCAAAAAAAAAAAAAATAAAACATAAAAAAATAAATAATAATAATTAATAATTAATTCCTCTCCTTCAATTTTACCGTTAGTTATTGATTTCTTCATGAATGAACTACATAACTCTCTTGATAATAATTCACCTGATAATAGTTCTCCTATTTATAGTAGTGAAGAATTTGAAGAGGCAAAGCTCCGAACGGTTTGGTTTCAGTTCGGTTCAGCTAGATCTTCATATTTATATTATGAAAAGTTCACTCTCTCTACAATGAATTTTCACCTTTGTTATAGAAGATGTTTGTTATGCATTGCAGAGCTATTTAAACCGAAGTCAAAAAAAATCTTCAGTTTTAAAAAACCTTAATAAAATCGGCTTATAGAGATGATTTTTAATAAGTAGATAATAAAAAAAATTGGTTTATCATGTGTATTTATTTTATCAAAGCATCGTCTTGTTGAGTTCTGAATGTAGAGAAAAATTAATTATAAAAAAAGAATCAGGGAAGTCCATTATTATTATTATTATATGAACGGGTTTTCTCTGGGGGTACAGACTTAATTAATCAAAGGCGATGTAGTTTAGAGCCTAAAACAATAAGAATTTGTATGTGTTTAAAAAGCTGGTTGCGGCAATGAATTTGTTTTAATAAATAAATAATAATAATTTGTAAACGGATCTTCGTTACCATAGTCGAACCTCGTTATAACGAAGTGTAACCTAATTAAATACATGTTATAACGACTTTTAACATTTTTGAAATCCGTTATAACGTGACTAATAAATTTGTTATTATTATTATTATTATTATTATTATTATTATTATAAACAGATTTTAAATGTCTAAAATCCTTTATAACTTCATGTATATAGAAACAGGATCCTTCCAGCATTTTTACTTCGCAACACACATTCAGCCACAAGTCATTATAAGTTATTATGTTATGTTTATTTTTGCATAGTTGACGAATTTAGGATACCTGAGATTTTTGGTTCAAATGTAAACCGAAAAACCGAACCGAACTGAACCGTTCGGAGCTTTATTTGTTTAAAATCCAATATAATATTTCAAATTTTTTAACATGAGTATAGATGAACCACATTTTATATCAAGCACTGACTGTATTTGTTATTAATAAGTTGAAGAGTGATCTATAGAGCTGGGATAACCCATGCCAAATTATCAATAATTTCAAGATTTGGGACAATTGATGTCTAATTCCTGATTCGTTTCTAATTAATCAAAAAACCAGGATTTCAGCTTGTAATTAATAAATTTCATTGCATAGTTGTCCCACAATTTTTGATTTTGTAACATGCTGTGTATACAATATCTATACATACACTATTCTATTTTATTAATAGATAAAATGCTAATTTGTGATCCTTCAGGGAATAACAGCCAGGGAAGTATTGAAACCAGTGTTTAAAATTGGCTTGCACAAGCTGCATAGGTGCGGGTATAATCAAACGTCCTTGCACACATGTATATTAAAGATTTTAAATAATATGCACACAAATTTAAACTTGGCACAATTGAAAATATCCTTTTTTTACAGACATTCTTCTTTTAAATGGAAGATAATGGTTTATAGTTACAAAATAAAATAATTCACAATTCTTTTGGTGGTTCTTTTAATATTAATGACCATCCAAAGGAAATTAATGACATAATTGCTTCAAAGGATGATAAAAACTTTAACACTTCTAACTGATTAGCTAAATCAAATCTTAAGTTTAATCTAAAATGATGTGAAGAATTTGAATGGTTACATTATATATTTTTAACTATTCCCCTTTCTAATAGCTGAACATATTTTTTTACAATAAAAATTTAATCAAAACTAGAATTAGAAATTGTATCTTTGCAAATGTTACTTGTGATTGCAATTAATGGACCAGATAGTGAGGTTTTTGATTGAGAAAAAGCTTATCAATTTTGGTATTCAAAGGATAGATGAATTTAACATTTACCAGTTAATTTTATGTGTGTTTGATAAAATTATATATTGATCCCAAATTCAAAATTTATATATATTAACATGAGCATGCATTTTACGAAATATGCATAAAATAATGTTAGATACCTTGCACGTGTGTATGATGTTTTAATTTTAAACACTGATTGGTTTAAATTATCTATATATAGTAAAATGGTATCCTTGAAAATTCCTATATCCATATTTCAAAGACTAGGGTGCGCCGAACTATAACTCTTGGAAAGATTTGTTGTGTGGTTGTATGCTGTAATAATAATATAAAACTCATCGAAGTCATGTGACTATTAAATAAGTTTAACAGGTTAACCAAATTAACAATAATAACGATAATAAATAAACCAAAACCGGCCAACAGTATCAACGAGCTGGGATTTAATATTAGTATTGGACAAAAAAATTTATGGGAACGGAAAGTGCATTTTTAGCTGATTGGTGGTTAAGATAGTGAATTTTTATCTATAATTTCCGTTATTTCGTCGCCTGCAACTACCAGTTGAAAACAAAGTCTTTGCTCAATATGTGCAATCACTTGATAAATGAAAACTCCAATTGTTCGTCGTATTTTTCTTTCCACTCGTAGCAACACTTACACATTAAAAATAGATATATTATTAATATTCACCATTATCGAACAAAATATTTCAACTCTTTAATGTACATACATGTTATGTGATTTATATTTTATAAAAAAGATAATAATTTCTTTTCTATAAAGAATATTTTTTTGTATATATATATTAATCAGTTAATCTTGTATAACTTTAGTATTAGTATGTTATTTTAAATATTCATTCGGTGACGTGATCATGTGTTTCAAATTCAAAACTATATACTTTGGTGCACGTAGCTTGACAATAAATAACTTTATCTATTAACAAGCAATGTGCTTCAAATATAGAAAAGTTACCTAAAATTGAAAGCAAGTAGTGGCATTGTTTCTAATCTAAAAATGTTTCTCGTGACGGATTGCACGTAGGAAACTCTTGATAGTATTAGTAAAAGGAACCATTTTTTATTTATTGAAATTCCAAAATAGGCATACATTATGTAGATCATCAATCCATTATATCATTATATCAGTTTTTTTCATTAAAACTTTACAAGAAATCAAACTCATAAAAAAATGAAACCTTATACTGTATCAAATACTCAAAGCACCAAAATGCCACATTCCGACGAAACTCCACTTGAAGAAATGTCATATGAACAATACTTTCCAGATTTAAAAATCAATACTCCACTTATAGCTATTAATAAAAGAAAATTAGAATCAGGTAATAATAAATAAATTGTACGTTTTTAATTATACATCTTCTTTAATTAAATAATAACAATGAACTAATAGAAAAGGGAAAAGAAAAAGAAAGCACCGCCGTCACTTTAGATTCAACCATTATACAAAAAGTTTCTGATTCGACAGATATCATCGAATCTAAAAATGCACAATTGACTCAACCGACTCATTCCACTACAACAACTAATGTTAATACAGGTAAATGAAAATATAATCACTCAACAACACTAATAATTATTATAATAATATATCATGACAATGGATCTTTGTTTATTTATATATATATATATATATATATATATATATATATATATTATAGAAATAAGACATCGCAAAGTTGTAACTCTTACAACATTAAAACATTATGACACTGGTGCTAATAACGACAATGTTGAAGATGAAGGCGAGATTAATAAAGATCTCGAAAACCTTCCATCTGAGGCAACTAGCTCTTTACTATCGAATTCAAAATCAAATGTTTTTAAACATTCATTTAGTGTTTTAAATAATCAAAAACCTGTTAAACCACTCCCTAAACCTTTATTTCGACATATCCCATATCCAAAGGTTGATGAAGAACGCAACATTTTTGTAAAACCAGAAGGACATTATATTAGACATAATGGTATTTAGACACTTTATATATATATTATATTTGTGATTGGTTTAGAAATATGGTTTATATGATTATTACTTATGATAAATAGAATTAACAGAAAAGGACCTTCTTGAAATAGTCGAATATGATATGGACGAACAAGGTATTGATAATTTCATAAACAATTTAATTATTTGAAATTCCAATCTAATTCATTTTCTTTTTTTATCTTAAAAAAAGATGATGAATGGCTTAGTAAACTTAACGAAGAAAGAAAAAAAGAAAATTGTGGTGAACTTTCCACTGAAATCTTTGAAGCATTAATTGATCGTATAGAAAAGGAATGGTTTGATTTGGTACGTAATTGTTATTATTGTTGTTATTACTATTATTATTATAACACTACATTAACTCAAAAAATTACAATTTAATTTAATAGACTTTTATTCTAAACTTTTATTATTTTTATTTTTATATATATTTAAAAGACTAAAAACTTACCAAAAAATAATGATAAAGATAATCTTACAGCCGAGGATTCAATTTGCGCCATCTGTGATGATGGTGAATGCGAAAATAGCAATGCTATTGTGTTTTGTGATGGATGCAATCTAGCTGTTCATCAAGGTATTGTTATTATTGATTACTATATATATTTATGCATAGAAGGCATCTAAAATGTTTTTATATTCATAAATATTACAACTAACTATTTCAGAGTGTTATGGAATTCCATATATTCCTGAGGGCCAATGGTTATGTAGAAAATGCATAATTTCTCCTGAAAATCCAGTAGTATGTACTTTTATTTTTATATACATATATATATAATATTTACATTAACAACATATTCACTTATATTATAATTTCCTTTTAAAAGTCATGTGTATTCTGTCCTAATGAAGGTGGTGCTTTCAAAAAAACTACTACAAATCGTTGGGCACATTTACTTTGTGCAATTTGGATTCCAGAAGTTTGGTTATCAAATCATGTTTATATGGAACCAATTGATAATTTGCAAGCAATACCACGTAGTCGTTGGAGATTAAAATGTTACATTTGTGAGAAAAAAGTTGGTGCTTGTATTCAATGCCAAAATACACATTGTTGCACGGCATTCCATGTAACTTGTGCTAGGAAAGCTAAACTTTGTATGAAAACAAAGTTTCCAGAAGCAAACTTCGACAGTTTTCCAATGAAAGCCTATTGCGATAAACACACACCAGTAAGAAAATATAAGTCATAATAATAATAATTATTATTATTATAAATATATCAATTATTTTTAATTTTACTTATATTTATTTTAAAAAAAAAGCGCGAATATAGAGAAAAAGTTGATGTGACGGCTACTCTTTCAACTGCTCAAAAATTTTTAATGGATTCAATACAAATTTCAAAAAAACATCGAAATGATAGTATTAGTAATAATAATAATAAGATTAAAAACAATAGAGTTCATTATGATGACTATGATGACTATGATTATGATGATGACGACGATGACGATGAGTATATACCTAGTGATGAAGAAAGCAACATTAAAATTAATAATAGCAAAAGCAATGGTATCAACAAAGTTGATAATATCGATGAAAATGAAGAAACTAGTAGCACATCCAAATTAAAACTAACTAGGAAACGTAAAGGAAAAGAAGTCGCAACAGAACAATTTAATCAAGAACCAGCATCATCATCATCATTGTTAGATGTTCAAAACTCTAAAGCTGCTCGCGCATACAATCATTCATATTCAGAAACTGCACCAGTCCTGCCAGTCACTATGGTAGAGAAATTATTACCTATTTTAAGCAAACAAAAATTTTTAAAGAAGAAACATGATCTTCTGGATAAAGTTTGTAAATATTGGTCCACAAAAAGAGAATCTAGACGTGGTGCCCCATTGTTGAAAAGATTACATCTTGAGGTTTGTAAAAAAATTTTTTGATTTATTAGTTGATTTATTGATCATTCAAATTTAAATATTCATGCACACACATATATATAGCCTTGGACGGCTTCTGCATCTATTTACAAACAATCTGAAGAAGAAAAATATGCAAAGTATTTGGTAAAGTTAAATGATACATTTTCAATATCCAACAATTTTGAAGTGTTGCCGCTATTGAATTAAAAAATTTTTTAATGTTATCTTCAAGGCTATGACTGATCTTCGTAAAGATTTGGAAAAAGTGAGAATGCTGTCAGACTTGGTACATCGTCGTGAAAAAGAGAAACTTAAAAGGCTCAAAATACAAACGAATTACCTGGAAACAATATTTTTCCCACTCGATAACATCCTTTTACCAACTTTGAAATCTATACAAAAGTAATTTCATTTATAAGGGTCAAATTAAACCATTTATTGATTTAATTAACATTTTTTTGTGACTTATTAGATTGGATAAACATCAGATATTCGCTTATCCTGTTTCAGAAGAAGAAGTACCTGATTATCATACACATATATCACACCCTATGGATTTTAGTACAATTCAGAAAAAAATCGAAGAGCATGAATATAGCCTTGGTTCAGGTTTTCAAGGTTTTCGAGGTTTTAGGGTAATTATAATAATGTTAACTTAATACCATTAACAAAATCGATCTTTTAAACAATTCTAAATTTATAATTTTTATTAGGATGATATCGAGTTGACATTTAAAAATGCAATGACATATAATACACCAGATAGTATCTATTATCGTGTTGCTAAAAAATTAAATCAACAAACAAAGCCCATTTTAGATAAGGCAGAACAAGATTATCTTGATCTGGGAATTGACCCCGATAAAATGATTATGGAATTAGATCTTGATCCTGAAATATTTACCTATAATAATGAACCATTGGCTGTTGACGAAGAGGCGATGGAAGAGGCGACAGTAAAGGAAGAGATTGTTGAAGAAACGCCAGAGGGCATAATTAAAGACACAACTAGTGGTGCAATAAGACGAATTAAACGAAAGTTTTCTTTTCTTTCTACTCGGGTCACTAGATCTAGAACAGTTGTCGAACAACACCATCATGATGATGATCAAGATAATAATACTGTTAGCAAAAGCAATTTACAAATTGGTGATAAGCCACGGAAAATTAGAAAATTACCAAAAGGCTGGGTCATGTTGCCTGATGATGATGAGGAAGAAGTGGAAAAAGTGGAGAAAGAGGAGGAACTTGATGAAACTTTAATGGATGTTGATCAAAAACAAGAAGAATTGGTAGATGATGATGTTGTTTCATCACGGACTAGATCTCGGAAAACTACAAGGATTGAAGAACTTGATACTGTGGAACCCTTAAAAAATGAGACTGATATTATCCATGGCAAAAGAACGATTCGTGATATGATAGTCGACACGTCGCCAACAGTAGCATCAACACCTACATATAGCAGAAGAACAAATCGTGATCCTATAATTGACACATCACCAACAATATCACCAACATCTACATATAGCAGAAGAACAAATCGTGATATTATGACTGACACATCGCCAACGCCTATATATGGCAGAAGAACAAATCGTGATATTATAGCTGACATATCGCCAGCACCTATATATGGCAGAAGAACAAATCATAATGTTACTGACACATCACCAACGGTATCACCGACAGCTAGATATGGCAGAAGAACAAATCGTTATGTTACTGACATGTCTCCAATAGTATCACCAACAGCGAGATATGGCAGAAGAACAAATCTTGATACGTCTCCAACAGTATCACCAGCGACTAGATTTGGAAGAAGAACAAATCTTGACATGTCTCCAACAGTATCACCAGCAACTAGATATAGTAAAAGAATAAATCGTGATGTTATTGACACATCGCCAATTGTATCACCTGCAGCTACAATATCAACTATAGTATCATCAACTACTGCATCACCTTTAAGTCGCAAAAAACTTAATACTGCTGTATTAGAATCTACTGATATTAGTTATGGGAGTTTAGTTTGGGCAAAGATGCAAGGTTTTCCTTGGTATCCTGCAGAGGTAATATATATTTATTTATATTTCTTTCTTTTTTACTAAAATAATAAATTATATTTAATTATTATTTGTAATTAATTATTTATATATTTATTGTTAATTAGATTGTACACCCAGGCAGTCTTCAAGTTCCTGAAGCTGTCAGACATGATAAAAAAGATGGCGACATGTTTTTGGTGCGTTTCTTTGATGAAAAACCTGGAAAGAAAAATGGTAGTCGTAGCTGGTAAGTCATCAATTTATATATATTTTATAATATTTATTTTAAATACAATTCATCCGTCTATCTATCTATAGGAAATGGGTTGCTGCTAACAAAGTAGTTTTAATGGGAGACAGACTAACTGATTTCCCTAAATTAACTGATAAATCAATGTCCTCCACAATGAAAAAAGAAATACCTCAAGCCTATGCAGATGCTTTTAGATCTAAAGGACTTGATCCTTCTCTTCTTAATGAAATCAATATCAGCACACCATCTAAAAGAAATACTCATAGATAATAATTATTTTCTGTTTATATATATAAAAAAAATATATATACATATCAACTTGAACATTAATTAATTGCAAAAAAAAATTTTTTTAATATAATTTGCTTCAATGATAAATTATTTTTAATAATAATAATAATTTTCATATTTTGCTAAAAAATTTAATTTGATTATATAACTGAAACTAATATTTGAATATAATTATTATTTATTTATTTATATATATTTATGATAAGAAAATAAAATATAAAAAAATAAATTAATGCTTTTTTTTAAGAAATTAATATCTATTCATTTATTTATCTGATTTCTATTTAATATCAAATTATATTTATTAATATTAGTATTAATTAATTACAATGATTAAAATGACAAATAATAAACAATGCATGCACACATTCTTGGTTTTTTTTCTCCAAATGTTTTCTTTCAATAAATAAATCAACAGATGATTGATGCTTCTTTAACCACGAGTAAATTTTCCGTAAATATGAAGGAAAAATACAGATCCAATATATGCAAGAGCAAGTACTACAACTACCACAGGATCTCTATATATTTTTTTTAAATAAACGAACAAATAAACATTAATAATAAAGTAATATGGCTATTGTATAATAAATGAAGATATTTGTAGTGATCTTCTTACACTCTAAGTCCTGGTGCGTCATCTGTATACAATTTCATCATTGTTGTTGAACTACCACCAGCTCTAGATACTGTCTTATTAGCTCCAGGCGTATTTCGTCTCCTAAGTAAAAAAGATATTAGATAATTATTAATAAAACTTTTAAGTAATAATCTAATAAAATATGCCTTTATAAGAATATTCATACCTTACATTACCTCTTGGGGCAGTTTGAGCAACATCCTTTTTTTTAAAAAAAAAGTTAATTAAATGTTAAAAATTAATCAATAAAATCAAAACACGCTGAATTAAAATCCTACCATTTTATGAAGATTAGAAGGGAAGAGTCGAAGGATAAATAGATTTTAGTGAGATTTTTTTAAAGGTAAGATGAGATTTTTAAAAATCAAATTTTTTTTAAGCAAAGAATTAAAAATAGTTTTATTAAATAATAATTAATTAAATGTGTGAAAAGAATTAATGACCAATCAAATTTGGTCGCGTTTACAAAAACCTAATACTAAATTGAGTGATAAACGCGATGTTCGTGTAACAATTGAATAAATTTTACAAAATAAAAAAAATGGTATATATGATAATAAATTTTAAAAAGATTGATCGTTTAAGAGATTAATTAATTCTAGTTGTTATTATATATTCATTAAAAAAGGCAGAGGTACTACCTGGGCATTCACTCGAAACTCATCATGAGGATATGATAGTAGGTTGAATTCTATTTTCAAGAGAAGTCTATAAATAAATAAATACTCATTAAAACCATTTTTTTTAAAAAAAAATAAAAAAGCATGATGCTAAACTTGATTATTATGGGAAAAAATTGGCAACATGCTCTTCTGATCGATCTATAAAAATTTTTGAAATTGATGGAGACAGTCAACGAGAAATAGAAACATTAAAAGGGTATCTTGTATAATTTTAATAACCTTAATAATATTATTATTGTTTTAAAATATACTAATATTTAACCATGGCTATATATTTGTTTAGGCATGAAGGACCGGTTTGGCAAGTTGCTTGGGCACATCCAAAATTTGGTAATATCCTAGCATCATGTTCTTATGATAATAAAGTAATTATTTGGAAAGAACAAAATGGATCTTGGAATAAAATCCAAGAACATAAACATTCAGCATCTGGTATTTATTTATATATCTTTCTGCTTACGCATATATATATATACACATGAACATATTTTTGTAATTAAATGGAAAACAAAGAGGTTGAATAGGTTAATTTTTTTTTGTTTTAAAAAATATAGTAAATTCAGTTGCTTGGGCACCTCATGAGCTTGGTCCAATTTTAGCATGTGCATCGTCAGATGGAAAAGTTTCTGTTTTAACATTTAAAGGTAAATTAAAAATGGTTTAAATTAATAATTTTTATTGATTAATTTGGAAAGTATAGAAATGTGTGTATGTATATATATATATATATATATATATATAATGATTTATTTATTTAAATAGATGATGGAGCAGCTGATATACAAAAAATTGATGCACATTCGATTGGTGTTAATTCTGTAAGCTGGGCACCTGCTACAATGCCAGGTTCACTTGTACAAATTACCGGTGGGGCACAAAATGTTAATGTCACAAAAAAATTTGCTTCAGCAGGCTGCGATAACAATATAAAAATCTGGATTTATAGGTAATTAAAAAGAAATTGGACAAAAAATAAATTGGTAATAATGATTGGCAAATTATACATATACATGTGTTTATATTTATGCTTAGTGATAACGAATGGAAAGAAGAATGGAATTTGGACGGGCACACAGATTGGGTTCGTGATGTAGCTTGGGCTCCTAATGTAGGGCTTTCTAAAAGTTATTTAGCTAGTGGATCTCAAGTAAGAAAAAAAAAATAATTTAGTTATATACTTATATTCATATTCACATTCATATTTACATTTATATTTATATTTATTGTACCGATATACATATTAGGACAAAACTGTTTTGATCTGGACTCAAGAAACACCAAACTCTCCATGGACTAAAAAACAACTTAATGAGAAATTTTTGGATGCAGTTTGGAGTGTCAGTTGGTCACTTTCTGGTAACATATTAGCAGTTGCTACTGCTGACAACAAAATCACATTATGGAAAGAAAATTTAAAGGGTGAATGGGAAATGTTGACTGAAATGGCAGAATAACAATAAAATTATTTATTAAAAAAAAGTAATAAAATTAATGTAATTAAAAATACCAATTTCAGTAATGATTTTTTGCAATGGTTTGTTGTCTACAAAAAAGGATTTCGATGTTCTACGAATTTAATCGCGTGTAGTTGAAGCTGCAGAGCGCCCCAAAAAAATTTTTAACGAATATTGGTTTTATTCATAATAATAATGATAAAAAAGGAAAAACTCGATTTCTGACAGTGATGGTTTGTTTAACAGATTATGACTACACACTAACCTTCTTGTGCTTGGTTAAATGGCTTGGGAGGTCTTTAACTTTCTTACGATCATATGCGATCGTGATGTTTTATTAATTAATTGTTTCTTAACTATTTTATCTTATAATCTTACATGATCGTGATGTTTTATTAATTGTTAGTTATCTTTCTTAACTATTTAATCAACAATTGATTAGGTTAATAATATGGATTTTATCTATAAATTGAATATTAAGATTAAATATATTTTTTTAATTGTAAATCTTATATTATTACTATTATTTACTTGAGATAAAAAATACATTGATATATATTTTCAATTTTTACAACTATACATATTATTCAAGACTCAATAATACCTTTGAAAAATTATTCATATTAATTTATTTTCGAAAAACTAAGTTGCAAAATCTCTCTTTTGACAAAAGCTTCAACAGTTTTAACCAACTTAACTTCAAATATATTATCTTGTTCCACAAATTCTCGAAATGTCAACATGCTACCACCAACACCAAAATATATGGACTTTGCAGCAACATATCTAATATATACGATATAAGTGAATATTAAGATTGAATATTATTATTTTAATTGTAAATAATCTGTCTTATATTATTACTATTATAACTATTAACAAAAGGATACGCAACGCCATTTGGCCTTTTTAGAGTATTTTTGATAACATTATACAATTTTGGTAAAGAATTAATGTTGTATATTGTTTCCGATGTAATTATCATGTCATATTTGTTTTCTTCTGAATCGATGTTGATCACATCCTGTAATATTTTATCAATCGATATATATGCATATATAAATGTATATTAGAGCTCAATAAAATTATTATCATAGCACCATCATCACTAAAAATCACTTACAACTAAATCACCCCAATCACCCATAAAAAATCTACTTTTTTTTAATTGGTTGAATAATTTGTCATTTTTAATAATCTCTATTTCTTCATTTTTTTCATTAATCTCTTTTAATTTTGAACGTAAAATTGTGTTAAGTAGTATGTTTGGTATTGTGATCAATTTTAAAACCTGTTCATTATAATCTTGAAAATCTACTTTAAGTGACGAATATTTAGAAAGAAGATAAATGCCAGGAAGTGATGTCCCACATCCAAGCTTTTAAAATAAAAACAATAAATAAATATAAATCTTTGAAAAATGACTTGTATAATAAATAATACCTCTAATATCTTATTAATATTATCAAAGTCAAAATTTTGCAAATCATTTATAAAATAATCAAGCAGGTCAAATGAACACTCCCAAGTTTTTAATCCGCCTAAATAAATATAATAGTAAGATTATTGTTACCCAAATAAAAAATGCGAAATTTTTTTTAAAAAAACCTTCGTATACTCCTTCAATCAAATCATTTTTTATCGATAATTCCAAAATATTTGATGGATTATTTATTTTTTGATTATTATCCATGACAAGATCTTCATCTTCTTGTGCTATCTGAAATTTAACGTCTGCCAAATGTCTTTTATAAATAATAACCTTTTCTTCTGTTGATTTTTTAGTGGAATCGACATGCTCAAACATAAATGTTTGGGGAAGTTTTAATGACTAATAAATAACCATTATCAGTTGAATATTATTAGCGCGCGTGTGTGTGCATATATGCTCTATACATTAAAAATCAAAAATTGTCAATTATTACCATAAATGTTGGAATAAACTCACTTGAAGGAATTAATGATGGTGGTCTGGATACTTTATCGTTATTTGACGAGTGAACATGATTTTTTTTTTCATCAATTTCATAATCTTCTACAATTGATGTCTCTTCGTCAGATATATCCAAATCAGTTGTCTAAAAAACAATTTATTAGAATTTTAGATAATTGCAATTCAATAGAAAAAATCCATAAAACACACCATAAAATTAAACTTGAAAGACATTTTTAAATGATGATCGTAGATCGATCACGCAAAACGATTTTCATAATCGAATTTTTAATATTTGCAACAGTATTAATTGAAACCATTTTTATAACCATAGGACCTATTAAAACGTATTAGACTATATAGGCTTTATTAGTTTTATAGTAATAAGCTTTAAAAGAACAAAGTTGCTAATACTGACTGATACTTGAAGGTTCTCAATGACGACTTGTTGTTTCTAATTGAGATTTTGTAACTACATAAAATGCCTCTTGGGCAATCTTATACTAAGAAAATGACTTTCTTAAAAGAACTTACGAATTGACTTAGAAGTTCATTTTTTGCTTGTAATCAATTTTTTTAAGAAACTGGGGGTGTAGAATGTAGATTTTCAACAAACGCATAAACAAAAAAATGATATATTTATTTATTATTTTATAGCTAACGAAATATTTACTGAAAGTAAGTGCAGATGTAAAAAATCATCTTTTTAAACAACAAAATTTCTATTAATAAATTAGTGAATGTTTGAAAGCAATGGTTGATGTTAGATCTAGTTGATATGGAATTGTTAAACTTGTATGTATATTCAGGGATTTGAGATAAGTCCATTTTGTTTTCTGCCTTAAAAATTATGATTCTTACAAATAGATTTAAGTTTAGTATATAAACTTATCATATAGTCCACACTCTATAATGAACTTTTAGGTTATATATTCTTTGTGCCTTTGTTTGCTATAGAGAAATAATAAAAAATGGAAGAGAAGTTCGTCATAATGTGATTTTGTTTAGTGTTTGTTATATATATAGAAAAAGTTATTGTAGAGAAAGTGAACTGTACTTTTCACTACATATTTCAATCACATTGACAATAGATATCATATAACAAATGCAACATTTATTATCTATTTATTTGCGATGGTAATTACAGGCTATTAACAGATTACAGTTTAGCTTATTATTATTATTATTATCATTATCATTATTAGAAAATCAAAAAGAAAAACTTGTATAAAAAATCACATTAATTTCATTTAATTATTGTTTTACTTATTTTTAAGCATAGAATCCAAACTACTTATTAAATCTAAACCTACAGTTCTTCCAGTCTATACAAAACACATAAATTTACATTTATTAAATAATAACAATAAATATAATGATGATGATGATAATGATTGTCTTTATCATTACCTGTACCATTTCCTTCAAAAGACTTGGTTCAATACAACCGCCGCCGCTTTTTTGTATTCCACATATTTTTCCCATCTTATTAACAGTTACCAATAGCTTTGCTTCTGTTGCAAGTTCTTCCAAAGGTGTAGCATCAACTATATGTCTTGTTCCAATCTGAATAATTATATACAAAAATAAATCAACAATCAATCATTAATCAATTAAATGCCTCTAAATCACATCTCTAAAAAAAAAAATGATCCGTATACAAACTCTATTTAAAGTAACACCAACTGGTACCATGTCCCATCCATATATTCTTTCCCATTCTTCAACATCATCTGATATCTCAAACTCAAACTCACCATCTCCATGATCTTGAATAATAGTCTTTGGCACTCTCGCGTTATAAAGTGCTGCACGTGTAGTTATGAAAATTGTATCTAAAATATTACCTGCATAATCTAGAACCTTTTTTTTGTTATTGTTGAAGTGGAAGATGAGGGAAGAATTAGAATGTAATGATAAAAATTTTTTATATAAACTTTTAAGAGATTTACCAAGGCATCAATATAAACAACCCAACATTGTTGACCTGGAATAATACATAATTTCTCAAGATTTATACCGCCCTGTGGTCCATTAAAAACTCGTTCTATTGTTTGAGTAAGTTCGTTATTGATATCTTCTGCTCCTTTTCCTGCAAATTGTTGCGATGCTATTGGTGAACTATTAAACTTGAAATTATTGAAAATTAATAATAATTTTTTTATTCAATCACATTCACATTCAAAATCTTTTTTTTTTGTTTACTACCATTAGTTACTTACTCACCATTCTACATTACAAACAACTCTACCTCTTTTTGATTTAATTTCCATCACCTGTTCATAGTTGCCATCAATTTCTATTGCACCAATCTCAATTTTTACTCCAACCAAAACATCAGTTCCTTCCCCAAGTTTACACCTAGCACTACCACTTGCTTGTGAAATAACTCCAGTTTCTAAAGAAACTTGACGATAATCTAATCGTCCTCTTCCATCGGCACGAATATTATCATCGACTCCCTTAAAAATAAAATCAATTTCCGACGGTGAAATTAATGATAATGGCATAATAATAGTAAGTTTATTAATTTGTAGATCATATCAGGAAATATAAAAATTAATATCGTATATTTGATGATAATTATTATTATTATTATGAATGCTAAAAATTTTCCGGTATATAGTTGTCACCTCTCTAAATTGGAGATCAAGTTCAGATCCAATTCAAATTCAGTTTATAACTTACTTTTTTTATTGCCAGAACGTTTGCCGTGTATTGTAAAGCTACGTTGCACGATATAAAAAATTAGTTGACATTTCAAATTTCCACTATGCTATCTTGTTAATAAAAAATGGCGTTAAATCAATATTTCAACTTTAATAGTATCAAAATATTAATTGTCTATTATTAGAAGATAAAAAATTTTTAACCAACAACAACATTAAATTAAATGATTTTGAATTATTTAAAAAACCACCATTACACAATTTACAACAGATTTATACTTCTGGAAACTTCAGAATAAGTTAAAAGATCTAATGAGAAATAATAGATATATAGTTATTATTCATTTTTAAAAAAGGTTGACAAACTTTATTTTAGACTATTCAACAATATTAGAACGCTTTATATTAATCATCCTAGATTTAATATTTGTTTTCTAAATTAGAATGTTGTTGTGACTTTTATAATAATGAATTATTTGATAAACTAGCACGTACTTGTAAAAATATCCAAGCTTTAAGATTATGAAGTCGTTATTCTACAAGGTAATTGTAATTTGCCACAATTAATTAAAGCACAAAATCAAATTAAAAAATTACATGTGGAATAAAATTCGATCAGTTGGAATTGCAAAAGCACTATTAACTCATTCAGAATCAACAATTGTATTCAACTGTTAGTGAAGAAATCAGTTAAATCCTTTATTAATTTAATTATTTATTAATTGATGAATTAGGATTCAGTTTTGGCAGTTAGAAATGGTTTGCGGAAAAATGAACACGAGTAAAATAATGAAGAATAATTGTGAAATTATATATACACATAAACAACTTTTCAATTTCTCATATTTTATTTGTTTGTTTGTTTTTATTTTATCTATTATCTGTGTTGTATATTAGAGAAAATTTTGTATAATAGTATTTATTGTATTTTTAATTATTTATTATTTTTATTTGAAAATTTTTGAATAAATATATTAAATTTTTTTTTATAGAATAACATTTTAAATTAAAGAATAAAAGTTTTCTATAACAAAAAAATAAATAATTAAATATTATTATAATAAAAGATATCTATTATTTTTATTTTTTTTACTTTTAGATTATTATTATTTATTTGGCTAATTTATTTATACATTTCATGACTGTGAAGAAAGTACTGCATTAGTAATTTGTACTCGTTTACTTCTCACTTCAATTGTCATACAAGGTGTGGTCAAATCCTATAAATAATTTATTTATTTAAAACAAATAACAAACTAATATATATTGTAATCACTAAGGTATAATTGATCAATCTTACCTGTTTCCTTTTCATTAAACAAGCCGAAAGTTCTTGATAGTGATTTAAAAGTTTATTCTTCAATACAGATTCTCTGTTCACTTTTGTGTTAAGCCATTTCATCAATTGATCAATCTAAATAAATAAATTAATGAATAAGTAAATAGATTAATAGAAATCCCAATTACACAAGTATATATCAAAAAAATATTTGAAGAATTACTAACATCTGATACGTCTTCATAGTAACCCCATTGTCAAAATTCATACCTGAATCTTCAGCTTTTTTTCTTTTGTAATAATGGTGCACATCTCTATCAGTTAACATTCTCAAATCTTGTTCCTGGGGAACTTGTACCCAAATTTTACCTGTACCATATTTTTCTCCAACTGTTATACCCAAACCATCAAAATAAAAATACTTGTTATAAAATCTATCATATCCTAAAGGTATAGAATGAGGCATTACATATTTTTTCTTGTCTTTTTCAATTTGTTCTTCCTAATTTTATCAATTATTTTTTTATTAAAAAAAGGATCTATAAAAACGATAACTTTTAGAAACATTATCCTTCTTTGATATACCTTTCTTTGTAATGATATTTCTTCATCTTTGAGTTGTTTTAGGATTGAAGCCTTGTCATATTTTTTTTCAGTCGGTTTTTTATGTCAGAACTCCCACTTTTCTTGGATTCAAAATTGGCATAATACCTTGTGCAATTTGACCAATGGAAGATGTGCTAATTTTAACAACAATAATAAAAAATGAAAATATGTAAAAGTGTCTCGTTAAACAACAAGAACGACTAATGATAATGATGATGGTGATGATGATAAAAGCATTTGATTTTGATATATGTTTCCTTACATCTGTCTTTTTTCCCTTAAAGTTTCATTTTTCTCTTTATTTAAATCAGCTCTCTTTTCAACAGAATTTTCGATGTGCTCGTGAACAATTGATGTTTTTGTGGCTGTGCTAACCAAAAGATCCAAAATTTGTAACTTGGAGGTAATATCATAAATCAAATTTTCATTCATCGTCTCTATGAATGCCTATTCCTTCTGATACAAATCCTTTGAAATATTTGTTTATTTGAATTATTACTCGTTTTATTTGAATTATTCGAATCATTTATTTTATTCGAATCATTTTTTTATATTTATTTGGATCATTTGTTTATTCGAATTATTTGATTTATTCATTTTATTCATTTATTCATTTTATTCATTTATTCTTTATTCGAATCATTGTTTTATCTAAATCATTTGTTTTATCTGTGTTTAGATTTTACCTTTGTTTTATTTGAGCCATTTGTTTTATTCGAGTCGTTTGTTTTGTTCATTTATTTGTTTTGTTCATTTATTTGTTTTATTCATTTTATTTGTTTTATTCATTTATTTGTTTATTTGCTTCATTCATCTCAATTGTTTTATTCGTTTTATTTGCTTTGTTTCGTTTATTTTGTTTGCAGTCTTTTGATTTTTTTCCTTCCATTTTTATCACTTCAAATTTTTTGAAAAATTGTCAAATTGACCGTTTTTTATATTCAATATTCTGCTTAGAATATGGATATGTTGTAAAATTTTGTGTAATGTCATTATTATGCCATTGACAATCAATAAAGATCTCATCCTTGTAAAAAACACTACATGGTCAAAAAATTATTGCACATCTACTACTGTGATATCTAAAAAAATAATAAATAAAATTCGTCCAAAAATTTTTTTCAAAGATATTTCTTAGTAACTACACTACACTAAGATTTTGACATGTAAAGATACGCGCCTTAAATAAACATCCAAGTTGCTTTGAAGTTTTTAGTAAACAAATATCATTTTTAATAAATTTTGAACAAGTCAGATTTAGTGAAAGCCAACATACGATTTTTATAATGATCTAATTTCAAAAATATCAAAAATTCATGATACTAATAGAATCACAGTATCTCGTACCATTAAAAGTATCTTAATGGAAAAAATCTCGTTCTAATAAATAAAAGACAACAAATTCAATGAAATAATTCTCGATTAAGATTGTCAGAAGTACTTTGTATGAACTGAATCTCTTTTCTCGCGTTCCTGCTACAAAACTATTCTAAACGATCAATAAAGACAAATTGGTTAAATTGGCATCTCTAGAGAAGGAATTGGACAGTTAGAAAATGGAAGTCTGTTGTTTTGAGTATATTTACAATATTTAAAATATTGGACTAGGACGCGTTTGGAGAACCCCTGGTACTAGATTTAAATGAACATAAAGTTTTTCGAGCATTGTTTTACTTGTGTTGAAATTTAAATAGTTTATATCAGTGTTGGAAATTCAGGGTGCGCGCGCAGCATGTTACACCAACGTGGGGAAACAT